ACTTAAATTTTCATTCCTTGCAATTCCTACCCAACCGCTACCCCACTGCCTTTCCCCCAATCGTTGCCAATGACCCTTCAGAAATCCCTTCTGTCTGTTGTCAGAAAAACTTCATCGTAATTTTGTGGGTGTCCCCCCCCACTCTCTAACATGTTCTATGGTCCTCCTAACTTGCCATTTCTAGCTTCGCCACTGTCTATCGATAGCGACGACAATGGCATCAACAATAAGTAATACTATATAATAAATCAAAAGCTACATATAAAATTATCATTGCCATAATAAAGTGATAGTTTCATTCATATCACATTTGTGGAATTAACCTTCAATATAGTACAACGTAATGTTTTAAAAGCAAAATAAAACTTCTACAAAAGAAAGAGCAAAAGAAATTATAGAGAAGAAAAAGAAAAAAGGAAATACTAAAAAAGAAAAGTGAGTATACCCAATCCAAAATACAACAAGTCTCTCCATAGTACAGTTAAATTCAGAAAGTCATTTAAGCATTCAAAAATTCGTTCGCGTTTGAGATCTAGTACTTATAAAACGGGAGTGTTGATTCTTCTTCTAGTATATTTTGATTTGAGTGTTTAAATTTTCTGTATGCAAGCAATTTTCTCTCGTGACTGATAGAGCTTTATCACAAATTTTGTTGTTTAATTTGCATCAGAGTCACATACATCTTCCCACAATGAAATAGGAACTCTCCTCTCGTTCTCAAAAACATGACCCACAAATTCGTCCCTTCAATATGCAAAAATGAATCGCTATAAACTCCCTCACGAGAAAAAGATTGAGTGTTGATAACCTGTAAAAACATCCCTTGAGATATTGATCTCCGGATTTGCACATCTAATAGCAACCCCCACTTTTTTATGTCTGTGGTCTGATTACCTGAAGAAGTAGCAAGGATTCTTTCAGATATAGTGCACAATAATATAAGGATAACTCTCGTCAAAATTTATGGGTCCCAAGTGAGGTAAAAGTCTAGGGAGGATAGACTTTTAAATCTTTTCATTTTTCAACCCTTTTTCCTCTAACAAAATGAGTTCCAATATCTTTTGGGAGATATTGAAACATACAGCGGAAGTCTTGACCTCAAGAGTGTGACACTTTATAGTAACAAAGCTTATGACCCTTTTAGTTGTGAGGAGATGATTGAAACAAGGTTCAAATGTGTTTTCCAGAATCAGATGACTCAAGGAGCAGGCTGCCGAAATGAGGGTACTGCTTCAAAGGTTAACGTATAGCAATGAACTATACTCTAACACATTGATAGGCATTAGAACAAGTCTTAACACATAACTATGAAGGATTTAGACCTATAGAAATAGATCACTTTGATGAAGAGAAACAAAGAGTTGATTCACAGTGAACTGGAAGGTTCATTGGACAGTTTTTGTGAGCAAGCTGTTTTGCTGTGAAGTTGTGAAGGTGAGTGAGAACTGTAATGTGTATTGGGAGCTGAATATAAAAGGTGGCACAAGATATATCCTGGTTCAGAGGTGATGTAATCCTCCTACATCCAGTTCCAACCTCTTTCAGATGGATTTCCACTAAATGAATATCCCATTACATTTAGTGCCCAATCTACCATTGGCCCGTGGCGTAGATTGTGAGTTTTTTCACAAGGAATTTGAACAACATTCCAAGCTATTCAATCCTCCAAGGTTTTTCACTAATGGCATTGACTTGGCAAGAGCTACTCATGTCCTTGCCCTTCTCACCTTCTGGATTTGAACACAAAGCCCTCCAGAATGTCTAACTCTAGTCTAGTTTACATGGGTGGAAAGTAAACCACCAACTAATCTAAGCTCTATAGGTTTGTATGAATTATAGCTATTCTAAGAACATTAGATGAGTGGGGTGAGAACCGAAGTGGTGAAGGAGAATCAACTGGCTGAGACGTCTTCGTGTGAATCTTGATTCCCTTCTATTCTACTTGGCTCTTTCACATGTTTCTTCCTGCACTCCTTCTGTATTTATAGACTTGTTTTTTAATCTCCACTGTTGGCTGAGGAGTTCAATCTTGACCGTTGCTTGATCTACTTGTTTGTTCCACTTGACTAAGGCGGCATGGTTTGGTCTTTGTTTTTTTTTGTGACACGGGTCAAATCTTTACACACAACTTGATTCCTCATCTCAAGGCAAAGATAAAGATGGATTTATCTTTTATTTCTTTTGCCCGTCGAGACTTAGTATTTAAGTTGAGTGTTTGTTCAATGTTTCCTTACAAATAACAATTACTTGCTTTTAGTAAAGTAATTTGGAAAAATTGACAAGAATAATCTCACCTTTCACCGGTCTTCTCATAATAATCCTACCTTTACATAATCCCAAAATAATCTCACCTTTGCACCCCATCTTCTTTCATTGGACCCTGACCAATTTTTTATCCTTTGTTTAAAAATCTTATATAAATAATCTCACATTTATAAAGATATAATAGAAAAGTGAAAAGTGAGATTATTTATATGATTTTCAAAAACAGAGTAAAAAACATGGTCAGGGTCCAATAAAAGAAGATAGGGTGCAAAGGTGAGATTATTCTGGGATTACCTAAAGGTGGGATTATTATGAGAAGACCAGCGAAAGGTAGGATTATTTTTGTCAATTTTTCCAAGTAATTTTATAAGAAATTTATAATGTGATAAAAATCTCTCATAAAAGTATTTTCTATCAAATTTGTTATTTTGACTGCAAGTTGGTCCTTTGTTTAATTGATTTTGTGCTGAGAGAAAAGTTAGTTGATTTCGGATGCCTTAACTGGAAAGCCAGTATTTCAGCCGACTGCAATGCTTCAGTAGGCTGCTGCATTCTGGTTTTTCTGGTGGCTTCCGTCATCAATGAATTCCAGTTAATTCTTTTTCGAACCTTTTCTTTTTTATTCTTTTTCGTTTTTGTTTTTGGTACGTTTCTTCTCTTTTAGTACTCTTTTCTTTTTATGAGTACTTAACCACTGATGATAGCACATTACAATAAGCATAAGTAGAACAAGTACAAGAGATATTAGTCTAATACAGGGATAATAAAAGGGAGTGACATCATCAAAACAAAAAACATATAAATCATCAAAATCTAGGGGACCTAACAAAAACTTTTAATGAGTAGTTTCAACTTGTTTAAGAGAACAACTTTTTTTGTATTGCCTCCGTCCTATTGGGCATTTCCAAATTTATGTTTAGTGTGAAATAAGAATAATAAAAACGTGTGTGGTTGAAGTTTGTGTAGATGATGGAGAAATAAAAAATCATAAATTCTTTATTTCAAATGGAAAGTTGTAGGTTTTTTGGGATAACTAAAAAAGAAAGTTTGTAAAGTTCAATGAGATGGAAGAAATAATAGTTTCTTATTTTTTAGCAAATAAAGCATATTTTAAATATCAATGAGATAATTCAAGTACAACCTTACCCAATTTTAGTGTTGGTAACAAGTATCTTCACCTGCTAAAATTTTCTTATCTTTTCTTTCTATTTGTCCTACTAAGTGTATGTTTAGCACACCTAGCTAAAAAAATTATTAATTTTTCTAGTAACTGCTAGTTTTAGACTTTTATTGACTAAAAATGTTTTAGAAGAAAAAAGTAATTATGTTTGGTACACAAATTGTTTTGAATAGTTAATGCTAAAAAATAAAGGCTTTTCTTATATGGTACTCAATGAAACTTTTCAAAAAAGATCTTTTATTTTTAATAAAATTTCTTTAAATTGTCCCACCGAACTTAGAACGTGAATCTTTTAATTACTTTTTAAATATTACAAACACTATAGGATAGGAACCTTTTTTAAACCCGGGGTTAGGGGGTGGGGCTTGGGGATCTTGCGGTAAACAGGACAGAACCTCCCTCCAAGTTTTGAACTCGAGACGTCCCATATGAGAGTATGAGTATGTGATCAACTCATTTCGACTGTTTTCTCAACTAGAATATAAGGATTTATGTCTACCAAACATGTTTTGAATTTGTGTCCTACACAATTTTGCCAAAGTTTGTGTGGTTTTTGAAGCTAAGTGAAAACCAAAAGTTATAATCGAATTTCTCTCTCTCTCTAGCGGTCATCTCCCTATGAGTTAGGGTTTTGTTCTTCCGCTTTTGTTATCGACGAAGAGCGGCAGTCGGTCAATTTCGGTCGTGCAAGCAAACTCAGGATCAGTGATGCAGCGTTTTGGCGGTCAGGGCTCGACTTCTGCTGTTGTTTATGGTCTAAGGTCGAGTGTAACAAAGAAAAAGTGAATAAGCTGTGGCAGAGCTTGGTTTCGATTCAGCAGCAAGAGATATCAATGGAGGACATCGTCAATCAACACAAAAGCATGGCTATTGAGGCGGATGAGCGGTGGGCGTGTCCCCTTCCTGAGCCTCCGCCATGGAGTGCAAGCGACTCTAGGGTCTGGAAGAAGATGAGTGAACTCTATTTTAATTCCGTTTTATTCTGTTTGTGTTTTTATTTTGAATTGCATATTGTTTTGGATGTATTCTTATTTCATGGCAGAGAGATTCTAGAATTTAAGTCAAATGATGAGAAGTCTGGTTTTCCTGTCATTGGCTCAGTTAAGCCCATTACATGATCAACGAATAGTGTTGCTTCTACAGAGATGATAGATTCTAAGTTTAGTTCGAGGGCGGACGGCAGACATAAGATTTTTTATCGTTTTGTTTCCTGCTTTTTATTGGATTCTATTATTAGTCATGTGACGAATAATTTATTGATTTAATATATTTATTGGTTTAACTATAAAAAAAAGTTTGTGTGGTTTTATTTTTTCTTAATAAGTGCACTAATTTCTTACTTCTCCCGAAAATGGGAGGGGTAGGGCTACTAGTAGTAAGGATGTATTCTTTTGGACTGAAATTTGCTGGTCTGTTCTGGTTTGGTAAACGTCTGGTCTCTGTGTATTTTATAACTACTGAACTCAGGTCTGATCTGGTCTAGTCTGATTTGGTCTGATCTGGTTTGGAACTGAAAAGCGTCCAAAAGAAAATACCTTAACGGAGAGGTGATGATGAGGGTTATTAACCTATTACTAGAGTATTTAGGCTTTTACACTATGATATATATGGAGAGCATATAAGTCAATGCGACGGAATTCATGTTGACCAGCTTTTCCCTGCCGCCTCCTCCCCTTTCCCTCTCCGCCAGACCTTCAACTAAAAGGTACTGAAATGGGATTCACACCCAGAAAATAGATTAAAAGAAGAACTGCACTTCCCACCTTTATATATATACTTATAACCCACACCACCTTTACTTTTTCTCTCATCATCCATCTCATTACACTGCTGCGCTGCATTATGTAGGTAACACAGCTTTTCATCACTCTTTTCTCTACATCTCTGTGCACAAAAAACTAAAGAACCATCCCCATTTTATCTGTTTTAATATCGTGTTTGGGAGGGGCCTGGGACTCAGAATTGTTAAGCTTGTGGTTTAGAAGAATTTTTTTATTCATCTCAGTTTGGGTTTTTCTTGCCTTAAAAAGGAAAGCAACAATTAAAAGGAAAAGTAAGGAAGATCTTCCCCTAAGAAATCCTTTCCTTCTGCAAACACTTTTCCTTACCCGAAAGCTGGAAATTGCTGAAGGGGCTTCTGAGTTCAAGTATAGTGAATCGATGATCCAACACTTTTCCAGTTTTCCCGGTTGAGTTTTTTTCTTCATCTTTTTCTGAGAGGAAATTAAACAGTTTTGATTTAATTTACTTCCGGTGTTTTCCACCAAAACAAGTTTTTGACATAAGAACATTGGATTTACGCTCTTGGAGAGATGATTCGTACTTTTTAGCAAGACTTTTATTAAACAGAGCATGTTTTATTACTTTTTTTTTCTTAATTACTTTGCGTTTACATACGGAGTATTCTATTTCACATTTTAATTTTTATACTCTGTATCTAATTTGTTCAAGTCCCCTGGCCATTCATTCATTTTATACTTCACCCATCATTACTGATACAGTGATACGGAGTACTATTTTTTCTAATACTCGTATATGTGAAAAGCTACATTGTCATTTTCTAATTTATTTTTTGTTCAACTGATACATTTTACACTATATTTATTATCTTTTCTTTCATACGTTTCATATTATTTTCTATTTTATGTACACTATTTATTATACATGTCGTTCTTTTTATATTAAATATTACTAGTATGTCAAAGGCAAATTACTTTTTAAAATTACTTTTTAAAATGAAATGGAATTTTTTTAATTATGTTCAATAAGACAAATTGTTAAAGTTTAGTCACACAAATAATTAGTACGTATAAAAAGATGTGTGGCTTCCCTTGTACTTCAATTCAATATATTGTACTGTATTAATTATACCGTTCTGTCGCACTTGATCTATCTGCAAAATTTATGTCCCAACACGATATTTATTGTTGATTTATTGCTATTATTACCATTATATATTTCTTTTTAGAACGCCTGCACATATGAAAAACCATTTATTACTGTTTGTAAAGGCAAAATACTTTGCAGGCTAACGAGACTCTCTACTCTGCTCCACGTCTTGACAAATGGCACTTGTTTTGAGCCCTAACACGATTTTAAAAAAAAATATATACGAAGTACTACGTATTTGATTAGTAAAATAATGAAAAAATTATATGTAAAAATAATTAAAATGGTCATCTATAATAACTTAAGCCAATATAGTAAGAAAAGTAACTTCAACGATATTTTTTTCTTATTATTACACAATTCAGCGCGCGGAAACAAAAGTTACGTATTTGGTGAAAAAGTTGGCTGATAAGGCGAAAAACAGTATTACCAAATGACCTCTTTATCCCATATAGTTTTAGAAGAAAAAGAAGAGGTCAAAAAAAACGCAATGGCTTGAATTAAAACTATTTACACCATTTAGATTTTTTGTTTAATATCACCATTTAGCTTCAGAAGTTCTTTTTTAGTAGTGTCATTTTAAGAAGAAAGGATAAAATGAACTGTTCAGATATATTGTTATTGTTGACAAATAGAAGTGTATTTAATGAATGTTTTTCCGTTGTTTGGGGATTTAATTGGGTAGGTCCTGTTTGGTCAGGTAGAATGGAGACTAAAATAAAAGGACATGAGGAAGGGTGCAGTAGGATAGAGGTTTCTTATGATGCTTATTCTTCTTCAAATCTCTCAAGAAGGGGAAGCTTTGGAAAACCTTCTTGGCTTCTTTGCTCTGTTGCAGGTACATATAAAACTCCCCTTTTATGTTTTTTCCACTTGTTAATTAGTGTATTTTCTATTTCCAAAGTTATTTTTTGAAAAGGTATTTAAATGGTTGACCTTTCACTGCTATTAATAGCAATCAAATAATTGAGTGAGCAGGAAGTTTAATACTCCGTACTACGTAATTTAGGAAATGCTTTAATTATCTGTTTTGAATCACTTGAAATGGAACTTTAAAATTGAAAATAATTAATTATCAAAAAATAGAAAATTATTAAAAGTTCTCACGCATTAATGCATATCTGGGTATGGAACCATACGTTTTGCATCTTTTGATCAAAGGGGTTGTGTAGTACAAAAAATCAAGAACCCAAAAATCTTAATTTTGGAGCATCAGAAAAATAATGAAACTAATGATGCGAATTTTTCATGTGAAAAAAGGTGTCCAAAGTAGTACTGTATTTTTCATGTGTTTATATTTGACGTTCGTACCAAAAAGATCGAAGTAGATTTGTTTATATTTCATGCGGAATATTTGTCCAATAAGTATAGAAGTATAGTACTGTATTTTTCATGTTTGTCAGTTGGTGGTGCATGTGTGGTATAGCCATGCGGAAATTAGTGTTTACCACAATAAAACTAGCTATACTCAGTATTCATTTAGGAAAAATGCCTGTTATACACAAAAGTTGTACACTTTTTGTGTACACAAAAGTTGTATACTTGTCTGTCCCCAGCTCCCCGCAGTCCAACTTTTATCTGTCGACAGACAACTTCGACTGCAGTGACAGACACGTGTACACAAAAAGTGTACAACTTTTGTGTACACCTAGCTCCCCTCATTCATTTAGTGAAGGAGCTAGGGAGTGAATGTTCTCAACCAATTTATTTTGAGTCGATGTTAAAGGCATAAAAGTTGTAACACATCTCAGGTAAAGTTTCAAGAATTTGAAATGCATGATTATGTGTCGGTCTTACTTTCATTTAACATCATTATTAATAAAACATCCAAAAAGTAAAAGTTATGATTGAAATTTGAGTATAATAAAACTAAATATTGTACGGAGTATATCACATATTTTGGAACAAAACAAAAAGGAAATTAGGACAAGTAAAATGAGACGGATGGAATACTATTTTATAATGATATACCAAGTATCAGCAAAAATAATTAATATATACTCCGTAGAACTTTATTCAAAACTCTAAACACAATATTTTTACTCTGTCACATAATTAATGTTTTAGAGTTTTTTTGAGGAAATGTTTTAGAGTTTCAAAAATTAATATCTCATCCATCCCATTGGACTTGTCCAACTTTCATGTTTTGTTTGTCTGGAAACAATTGTCACTTTGCTTTTAAAGGAATGAATCTCTGATTCAACTTATTTTTCTATCTTTATTTTTTGTTTTTCTATATTTTATCTTCTAAATTTTTTGCCAATAAGAGAAACATTTAGAGTCCATTTGGTGATCATGTTTTTCGGTTAATCAGTCTAATTTTTTTCAAAAGTGTGACTTTTGATTTCGTGTCCTGAATTATGTAATAAAAAACATAAGATTAAGGTTACTTTTGTGATTCTATTTGCTAAAGTTACTGTATATAATCATTTTAACTCTAGAGCAGATGCTATAATAGATTTAGAAGAATGTAAAGAAAAAATCATTTTAGCTACTCCGTATTTTTATATACGAAGTATATATATTTTTATTTTAGTAGTTATGTTTTATAAATTAGCATAATGGGCTCATCCAATCAGTTCAGACAGAAATTCATAATTTTCAATTGAAGAAATTGATTCAGTCAATTTCAATCTTACCAAAAGAATTGACTTTATAAATTTGTACAATGTTACATGCCATACAATGGTACACATACTACATTGAATGGGAGATCGTATGGAATCAAAGTGAGACGAAGGGTCGCTTTCTTCCTTGCCTTTGTAATATCGGGACACAGTAAAGCTATGCTTAGCTAAAAAGTAAAAACACAGCCTGTAGTATCTTTTACTCCTACTTATGTAAAATCTCTTTCTCCCACTGCCAGCAGTAACTTTATACTTGGGTTTTCAAAATTTGAATCCAAAATAAAAAGAGAGAAAACGAAAACACCAAAAATGTACGTTGCGTAAATGCCTTACTTTGAACAGTTGTTCCATCTCTTATTTTTCTGTCGCGCAGCTGCAACACGTTATTGTGCTCATAATCAGGACAAGGCACATCAGTCCTTGACTTATGGTTTGTTTCGAAAATGGAATAACAAGTTTTAGGGAAAAATGTCAAATAGACCCTCGAACTTACATAAAAAGGTCAAATAAACCCTTATATAGGAGGCTCTGCCCGACCGTCGCCTTTTGGGGCAGTTCCCGGTGGAATTTTTTTATGAAATGTTTTGAGCATCTTATTCATTAAGTCTGATTCACTCATACCAAATTTCAACTAACAATTCAATCTGATTTTAACTGCTCTTATTTTAGTGATAATTTTCTCAAAATATTAAGGGTTAATAAAAAGCTCAACTGTGTCAAAGATATGAACACAATTTCGATATATTTGGTTCCTCAACTTTGGTGGGTCACGTTCCACAGACTATAAGTGTAGATGCCCACAAGAATCCAAACATGAACACTCAATTATTGTATGCTTTTATATGCTCTATCCATAGAAGTATAGTGATAAAATGCCAAAAAGGTTTCAATAATTTTGCAAAAGATGGCCGACCATGTTTCGTCTTATGAATGGTGTGTTCCTAGTTTGTGTGCCTCGTTTTGGAGCAACTTTTAAATCGCCCAATCATTTGCCCAAACTAATTTGATCGAGTAGCTGGGGAGGGTATATAAGGCAGGATGAAACTGTTAGATGGATGGAGTCATATATGCTCTATCTATTGTGTCTGTCATGTCGAAGTGTATTTTGTCTGTATTTTGTGTGTACAGACAATTGATTTCATTTTCAATAAAGGGAACTGTTTGTGATCCCGAAAAGCTGAAATGTTTGGTGCACATACAATTTGTGATCACAAACATTTATTATGTCTCGAAATCAATTATTTGTATACAGACAAAATACCGAGTGTGTAAGTCAAGTGCACAAGTAGCATTTTTGTTTCGATTTATCATGTTATTTCATATTACAAAAGTGAGGAGTGAGAACACACTTTTATTCCACCAAAATACACCAATCCATCCATGATGATGAATTTGTGGTTTCATACCCTCTTAAGATTTTAATTATGTTCTTCCCGGCACCGACCTATCATTAGTCACCTTTTTTTCTGTTTATTTTACATATTCGCTCTGAGTGGGACGAAATAAATAGTCAGCACTTGAGCAGATTTGGCCTTAAATTTCAAACTGCTAAAGATTTCAATGTCACCTACTACCAGTCTACCATTGCTTTCTCTGTCACCTAACATGGCATGACATAGTCACATAGGCCCAAGCGTTCCATTTTTTGACCATATCATCAATAAAATCATGTGTGCCAAGTCAATTATCTTGTGGTCCAGTAGCAATACTATAATAGCTTATGAAGTTCAAACAAAAAACATCAAAGATATTCCTACAAAGTTCCGTGTTTCTTCTTTTAGAATATCACTTTTGTTTATTTTCTACGTAAAATTTGACTACATTTTTTATTTCTTGTTCATGCTACTAGTAACATTTTGCAAACCAATTTTATAGTTAGTGACTACATACTAAAAACATGAAAGATAAGTTTATACATATTATCTCTTTCAAAAACAAATTATATGTATATACATATGTTTCGTCCAAAAACATACTAGTAAGTAGTAACATCTATTGATTAGATGATAAGTTTTCAAAGTAAAATATAGGGGAGAATGTACCCATGGGTTATTGTTCGTACTTCATATTACAAATGACACCACTCATTAGGCATGGAATGGATCCAAGTCTAGTCCCGGTTCTAGTCCAGGATCGCCTGATTCGGTCCTAAAATACACTAAGCAGGATTGGGTACCCCCCTACTACCTGGTCGGGTAACCGGTCTTGACTCAGGACGGTAAAACAGACCTGGTCCATTCCCAAGCAATACCGTACCGACTCTGGCCTGGGCCAGACTAGGTCCATGCGTGGCACTCATGATTCTTCAACTTGGATCAATTGCCTCCCAATTGTCTTTCAAATTGGATTTTTAGTCACATCAACAATGGTTTCACAGCATAAAAGGCTAAAAGCTAATGATAAATTAGCAAAGGTAAGAATAAAAATTAAAAAGTGACTTTTTCTAGTAAACAATAGAAATTCAAGTATATGGAGGAAGTTACTAATAAAAAGCTTTAAAAATCATATTTTGAAATTCCAAAATGACAAGAATATAACAATACTTTCAAAAAAATATTTCTAACACATTAATAGATAAAATCTAGTATTTCCATCATTTGCAATGGAGCCAAAGATTCATTATTTTTTGCTTGAGAATATGATGGAATAAATCAAAACGGCTCACCAAACTGTTTGCTCTTCTTTGTTATGAAGTAGCAGTTAGTCCATGCAATTTTGGACGCGATTTTCATTATGGGTCATCCGGAAACAGTCTCTCTGTGCTTTAGTGCAGGGGTAAGACTGCGTACATACGACCCCTCCTTACCGCACCGTAGGTGGGAGCCTCTGGGGCACTAGGGTAAATGATGATTGATATGATTGATTGAATAGATAAAATCTAGTCAAAGTAGAGCATGTGAATAATGTAGAATTCAACATTTTGCAATTAGTTAGAACTAAGAACTGAGGTAGTATGGTTTTTGGTAGAAGTAATAATTAAAGAGTGCAAAGAGTGTAACACCCAAAAAATATTTATTCTGTTTTTCTAAAATTTCTTATTGAGTTGATACTAAAACAAATACTACTAAAAAATGTAGATTAGACGAATCTCTACACAGTAGTAATTCCCCATAGCAAGCTGTTTATCTGCGACTATCCTGCCTTTAATCACTCCAATGCATTTACTGAACATTCTCTTCTTTTTTGTATGGCTAGATTTGGATGAGAGGATGAAGTTGTTGGGGTTGAACTTGACAGGGGAAGGCAGTGATAGTGCAGATGACAGTTTTGCGAAACGTGCAGACTGCTACTACCAGCAACGTCCTCAGCTAATTGCTTTGCTCCAAGATTTGTACAATAGTTACCTATCCCTGGCTGACCGTTACTGCCAGTCACTGTCAAAGACTCACCACCACCACTCCGCTCTGTCCATTCACTTTGCCGACATCCAACAAGATCTCGACCGGGGGGGAGACAATGCCATTGATTCATCTGATGATGCCGAGAGCTCTCTATCTTATCAACCACCACTGGGCCAGTTCCATCACCATCAAGCAAAAGCTGGGGACCCAGATATGATCATTGCTGACTTAGTGATGAAAACGGTTGAGTGTGACATGATCCTTCATGAGCTGGAGCAGTTGGAGAGACGCGGGGTGGAGTCGTCTAGGAAGATGGAGTTGCAGAGGAGTCTGCTGGATGTGCTTGAGGCCGAGAGGTTGATTTTACTGAACGAGAACGCTAGGCTCGGGTACCAGGTCTCTGAGTTGGTGGAGGAGAACCAAGGGCTGGCATCCGAGTCTACTTTCATGAAGAGGAAGGCAGCTGACCTGGCGAGGTGCCTGTTGAAAATGAGGGAGGACCACAGGGTTTTTGTGCTCAGCCGGAAGCTGGAGGAGCTTCAAGGGCAGATACAAGGGCTGGAGAAGAGGAATAGGGAGTATTATGAGCAGCTGGTCAAGCACGATGAAGTAGAAAAGAAGAGGAACAACAGCGGAAAGAAGGTGAAAGGCTTTAAAGGGTGCTGTTTTCAAGTCCATGATGGAGTCTTTGCTTCTTCTTCTTCTTCTTCATCCTCTTCCTCTTCTTCGGCTGCTTGGTTTAGTAGCAGCGGTGGGTCAGCTGGTGGTAATTTTGCTGGTGTCAAGAAAAAAATCGTTCAACATGGGAACAATGGCAGTGGAAAAGGGCTGTTGGAGAGATTCAAGAAGTTTGAAATCTTTCCATGTGGACCTCACTAATTTCATCTCAGACTATCGTACTACTTAAGCAAAACTCTATTTATGACCGTTGATGTAGTAATGTAGTTAGAGGCAGGTCAATTAACCAAAGGAAAGAGGAATGAACTTGAAGGCATGGCCAACTAGTTTAATTGCTCTTATATTGGCGAAAATGAGCACCTTTTTTGTACACTATAATAGTTGGCAACTGAGTAGTTGATAGAGTATATGGGCATGGACCCCAGAGCCCACACACTCAATGGCCCAAAAAGACACCAGCAGGACACCCACATCGGCCAGAGGCATGTAGCGTCCAAAAAAGAAGATATCGCCTGATCTATTTGGACGGCGTCGTCCATGGACCGCATCGTCCATGGACCGCATCATCCATGGACCGCATCGTCCATGGACCGCATCATCCATGAACCGCATCGTCCATGGACCGCATCGTCCATGGACCGCATCGTCCATGGACCGCATCGTCCGAACTTCGCCCGGACAGAATGTATTTTTCTATTCTATATACTAAGTGTTGTACTCAGCCCATTAGTGGCCTTATTTGCCCAAAGAAGGCATGGTTATTGTAATGGGCCTCCTAAGCCCAAGGCTAGGGGCCCAAATCCACATTTTTACCTATAAATAGACCCCAAGGGGCTAATTATAGGGGGATTCTTTCCACTTTGAGAAATATAATCACTCACTTTCTCTCTCTAGCTCTCACTTCTCTCTAGAATTAATACTCTATCATTTGGTGCTCTCGTTGAGAGTTGAGAACAGATCAAGTGAGTACCCCTCGTCGCTACTAGACGCAACAGAATGACAAGAACTAGGTCAAAGAACACCGCTAGGAACGCCCCTCTGAACCAAGAAGGGCAGGGAAACGTTGCTGACAACGTCCCCAATGATCTCATCATCCAGGATGAGAATGCTCAGGAGGTCGAGCACGCAGCGGCCGACCTCCGCGTCCAACTCAACAGGACTGCCCCAGACGCCCGCATCGGGCTCGAGGACAAGCGCAATGCTGATCGCGCTTCGGGCCAGCAGGCTTCTCACCCTGCTGCCCCCCAGATCAACCCGGCCGCACTATCGGCCATCGTCGCAAGCATTCTCCAGGACCCCAACGTGGTCAGCGCTCTCGTCGCAAAGACAGGGGAGAACAACACTCCCCTGACTGGAGAGGTCGCGACGGTGCCACCACCGCCGCCTCGGCCACAAGGCGTCACCTTCTTCGGCAACGACGAAGGCGTCCTCGCCGTGGACACCCATTCCCACACTGCCTCACCTACCCGGGATACACCGGCCCAACCTCGCGGTAAAATCTCAGCCTTCAACAGGCTGGGTGACATCGCGAGCCGTCGGGTACCTACGGGAGGGGTGGCGGGTCGGTTGGGTGGCCGCGAGCCGGGGTCGCCAAAGGAAAGCTTCGGGTCCGTTTCCCGGACAACGGATCGGCCCCGACCAGACAAAGGAAAGGGAAAACTAAATGATGCTGACGCGCGCCATCAGATCAACCTGGCCCACGCGGCCCGGATCCAGACCCCTCTGGGTGGCGCTGCGGCCAACATGGACCCAAGGGACGAGATCATCGCCCGCCTGGAGAAGCGCCTCGCTGATATGGAGGCCCGAGAGGCCGCAGGGCGCGCATCGGCCCAGACATCCCAGCATCCCAACTACGACGCGCTCCTGAGCAAGGTCAGTGCTCTGGAAAGGGAGTTGGCTGACCGGCGCGAGGAGCCCATCATCCAGATACGGACCAGAACCCCCTTCTCCGCGAGGGTGCTCTCCGCTCCCATCCCGGAGAAGTATAAGGGGAACCCGATCAAGCCATATGACGGCCGCACTGATCCCCAGGAGCACTTCACCCGTTATCAGAACAATATGATGATGACCAACGCTTCGGAGGAGTACATGTGTCGCTGGTTCCTATCCACCTTGGAAGGACCAGCGTACGATTGGTTCAACAATCTTCCGGAGGGGAGCATCGACTCATGGCAGGACCTTGCTCAGCGCTTCCTCACCCACTTTGCCGGGAGGAAGCGTGCGAAGAAGCATTTCGCCCATCTCCTGACCATAAAGCAACAACCTGAAGAGACACTCCGAGCCTTCCTCGATCGGTGGACGAGGGAGGCGGATGAATGCGAAGGAGCCGATGAGCGCACCCTCTTGGCTTTCCTCCGCGGAGCACTCCGGCCTAGCCACTTCGCCCGAAGCCTGTTCACGGAGCCACCGCGGTCATACCTCGCGGCGCTCCGACGCGGAGATAGGCACGCTGATGCCGACGAGCTCCTGAACCAGAAGAAGGGTGGGGAGAAGCAACAAAAGAGGGACTCCTCGTCCAACCCCCACCACCCGCCGGCCAACAAGGGACAGCACCAGCCAAAGAAGGCACACCAGGAGCAAAGCGGACAGCGAAGAGAGGACCGCTCATGGCGTCCAAAGTTGGAGGCACAACGCATCCCCCTCACCCACCCGGTGAGCGTCGTCCTTGACCATGCCGAGGCGCAGGGCCTCATTGTGAAGGACCCCAGGTCAGAAGAGGAGATATTCGCGGTCCACAAGGGAGGGACATATTGCAAATACCACCGCCAGACATCCCACAGGACCGAGGATTGCACCACCCTGAAGAGGCACATCGACGGCCTCATCCGACAGGGGGAACTTTCCCAATTTGTCAAGGGTGCCCCCAAGAGTAACACTTGGGTTAACCCTGGCAAAAGGGGGGAAGGATCCTCCGGGAAAAAGAGGGAGATCGGCGCCCTCAGTGAAGATGAGGACGAAGAGGAGCCCCGCCAGAAGAAGCATCACATCCACATCATCGTCGGCGGGAACACAGGGGGGGACTCGGCTACCCAACGGAAAAAATGGGCTCAGTCCCTATACGTTGGTGAGGTGACCCAAGCCCCCCCTCAGCCGAAGCGGCGGAATATAGAAGCCATCACTTTCACCGACAAGGACCTCCCCTTGGGCCCCTTGCCCCACAGGGACGCCCTCGTCGTCAAATGCGAGATCGGCAACAACATCATCCACCGCAACTACATCGACACTGGCAGCTCCGTCAATGTGATGTACGTTGACACATTCAGACAGCTGAAGCTGAAGAAGACCGAGCTCCGGCCGATACGGACTCCGTTATCCGGCTTCACCGGGGACTCTATCGACGCCGAGGGCACGATAGTGCTTCCCGTTGTGGTCGGTGACGGTACCTGTCAGGCGAAGATTAACATGGAGTTCGTGGTTGTCAACCTGGACAGCGCCCACAACATGATCTGGGGCCGACCGGCCTTGGAGGACCTTGAGGCCATCATCTCCATGAAACATCTATGCCTCAAGTTCCCCACCAAGGACGGCGTCGGCTACGCCAGAGGAAACCAGAAGTGTAAGGAATAAATGTAATTAGATTTTGATGATGCTATAGGATTAGAAAGTTAGAGTACCCCCCCCCCCCCAAATTAGATTTTATGTATTAGAATTTTCAATTGTAAGTATTAGTGTAGTCGACGATCAGAGTTGCTCAGTTTTGGATCAGATCAGAAGTGCATCAGAACTGCTCGACCAGACTTGCTCTATGAGAACTGCTCCATCAGAGTTCTCTTAGCAGAAGTCCATCAGAGTTCTCTTAGCAGAAGTCCATCAGAGTTGCATCATAAGAGTTGCTGATAAACCTGGACATCTGATAGCCGATGAGAATTACAGATCAGAAGTACTCATCAGCGGACCTATCAGAGTCAAAGTCAGAGCTCAGTCAGAGATCAGAAGACCATCAGAACTCAACTCGTCAGAAAGCCATCAGAATCCAACATATCAGAAGAGCCTGATCAGAGCCCGACGAACACTTAGAAAAATTTCAAGCAACATCCAACAGCTATGAATTCAACGGGTAAAAACATCCAACGGCTACAAGACTGTGCATGAAAGGAAAGCATTTAATGCACATTAAATGAGCCTGATACGCTGAAGGATTGATTGCAAATGATTGACCAAAGAATCCGGGAAGATATTTTATAAAAATAGAAACCTTCCAAAAACGGCGGTCAAGTCAACTGTACGCGCATTTAATGCAGTTGTCTCCTCCCCCAACGGGCAGACAACCCCAGTATATAAGCTACTCTACGAAGAACTGGAAAATAACTTTGCTACAACTTTTGCACATCATCATTCAAGCTCTCTTGAGATTCAAATTCTACAACCTTCAACAAGACAAACTTACGTTGGGAAGATTAAAACTCCAAATCTCTCATCCCCAACAAACAAGCAAAGTTCATCCTGTTCTTCAACACTTCAAGAACTTCATCAAACATCTTTTGTAACGAAGCAAGTTGGAGGAAAAACTCTGTTTTTCAAAGGATCTTCTGAAAAGAAGGGCGTCCAAGTAACTGCAGTAGTGAAGTGGTGATACTTCCGGGAAGCTGAGTGAAAGGATCAGCCATCAGGACGTGGAACTGCATCCTGGGTGGCATCTAGGCTTGAAGAAGACGAGGAGTGCTTCTTAAGTGCTAGGATTTAGCTTTGTAACCGATCTACTTCAAAGCTAGTGGAACAGTGGACTAGAGGAACGAGTTGTTCCTTGAACCACTATAAAAATATCCGGTGTCATTTACTTTACTGCAATTTATATTTCTGCACTTAGGATATTAACTGATTAACTCTAAGACTTGGAATCTGTGTTCAGCAGATCTTGTTTTCAGAGTTATCAGAAAGGCATTTGCCTTAGTATTTTTGAGGCTACCCGGACAGATCAGAATCCGCTGCCAAGGCCAGTTCTGATATCAGAACCAGCCTTTCTCTGTCATCAGAATCAGACCTTCTCTGATAAGTCAGTTTTGACTTTGAGAAAAAGTTGAAAAACCAATCAGTCTATTCACCCCCCCCCCTCTAGACTGATTACCATATTAAACGGGACCAACAAGTGGTATCAGAGCCTCCTTGTTCTTGTAATCTTTTAGGTTACTCTCTGAACAAAGATCCACTTGTTCTTAGCCTCTATTTATTTGTTATTATGGATAACTCTCTTGCCAAGCATCTGATGTTCACAGATCAGAAGTATGATGATTGGAAGATCAGAATGAAGGCACATCTATGTGCCCTTCATGATGAAATGTGGGAAGTCTTGGAAAGTGGACCTTTTATCCAGTTCATGAAGATCAACCCTGCCCATACCTTAGACAACAATCTACCCCAGATGATTGAGAAAGCCCGGTCTGAATGGACCAAGGAAGAGAAAAGGCAGTACAACCTGGATAATATAGCCAAGGATATTCTTTACAAGGCTATTGATGAAAGATACTTCAACAGAATCAAGAAGTGCAGAACTGCCAAAGAAATCTGGGACAAGCTGGATGAGATTGGAGCAGGAGATGAGCAAGAAAGAGATAACAAGTTGACCATTGCTATGAAGAAGTTTGATGACTTCAAACTTCTACCAGAAGAATGCATTGCTAAAATGCATGAGAGACTGCTGATTCTAATCAGTGAAATTTCTGAGCTTGGAAAGGAGCTCACCATCAAAGAGGTCAACATGAAGATTCTCAGGGGACTGCCTTCAGCTTGGAAGATGAAGGTGATTGCAGTCCAAGAAAGCAAGAACATCAAGACCTACCCCACAGAGAGATTGATCTCAGATCTCAAAGCTTATGAGTTCGAGATGGTTGAAGAGAAAGAAGAAGTGCCAGATGAAAGAACCACAACTGCCCTTACTGCCAGCACTTCTAAGGCTACAAACTTTGATCCTTCA